AATCTTGAAAATGGGTTTTTCAAAAGAAAAAACGGATTACATAATCGGATTAGATCACGTAATCCAATCTTGGTTTTGTTCCAGATCAAACCATTAGTTTGGGTTTTTCAGAACTTTTTTGTAGGATTTGGATCACTTTGATCCAAAAAATCTGGATTAAACTGATCCCATCAGAAGGGTGGATTCAGCGTGGATTTCATGCCCAAAATGTAATGAAAACTTTAAAAATGTATCAAATAATACTATATTTGGATCATGCAGTATCTTACAAGATATCCTATTTATTCATAAGGTTTTAATTTTATTTGTTCATCCGTTAGGCTACAGTGATTAGGTAGGCTTTAACGTATTCAGAACCGAGAGGAAAGGGGCCGGAGGGGGCAGACTGAATTCGGCCATCCTCGTCGCCAATATTATGTCGGTTAGACGGTACAAACGTAGCCTCACGCCGGGAGAGGTGTAACAGCCAGTCGCTTTATTTTTCCCTTCACACAACAAACAAAACGCACATCCGTGCGCCCCCGAAAAAACCCCCACAAAACCCCATATGTCCGCATACGTAACACAGGTACCAGTGGGCTTTGTGCGGTGGAGATATTGTGGCTGTTAGCAGAGTTGATAAAAGAGGGGCGTTAAAAGAAGCCCGCATGCGGTAGGCAAAGTAGTGAAGTTTGCTGGCAGGCGCGTACGGCGATTAATCGGTGCGGTAGTGAAATGGATTGTCCAGCTTACCTCTGCCGTGTCTGTGGCGAGCAGACACACCTGCACCTGCCGTGACGCTCTTGGTCAGGAGGGGGATGTGGACGGGACACACCTGGGCTCTCACGTGGAGGGGAGAGATGCTGCCAGGTGCGTGTGGGACAACTGACGTTGGAGCTCCCTGCTGGTGGAGCCGAGGTCGCCCTGGACTCTCCCATCGCCCGGGCTGGGGGTGAGGAGCCTGCAGCTGTAGTGGTGGGTGAGGGGGGTGTGGCTGAGGCAGACGCTTTGCTCCACCATGCGGGTAGAGGAGGTGCCCCACAGTGTTTACTGTGAGCGAGGAGAGCTGCAAGGCCCTGGTGTGCCTGTCTCCCCTCTGATCCCTGTTCCCCCTCCCCCCCTTGAGACTGACTGGTGCTGCACACTCCTCTCCGCAGCTCCCCTTGGACAGTGACGTCCTGAGGCACCTCGACGCCCTGGGACGGGGCCCTTCTGCTGCGGCTGCCAGGGAGCTGGTTCCTACTAAAGCCAAAGACAAGACACACTGATGCGCCCCGGACCAGATACGGACGGTCACAACCCCAGCCCAACTCATCAGCCTCGCTTCACCGGCAACAGGAGAGGAGGCAGTCGGCGGCAGTGCTAGCAGCCCTGCATGCTGTGAGCCCGGGTCGTGACGGCAGCGATTTTATGTAATTGTTTGTATTTATGGTCTATTAATTGTTTTATTGCATCGCTGATCGTCTCCTGTGTCCCATCTCCTGTTTTATTTTTGCTGTATTACTTATTTATTATGGATCTCTTATTGGTTTTATTTCTTTTCACGGGTGTCGGTGTGTAGATTTCAACATCGCCTGCTTATCGGGATGGGTGGGGGTGTGGTCTCGAGGGCACGTCCCGCTTTTATGTCTGGTGGGTTTTATGATTTTAACCTGCCCTGCTAGTCCCCTTGTGCATTGTCATGCTCCCCCCTTTCATCATTACCTCACTGATCGCCCGTGGCCTCTGGTTGTGGGCGAGGTTACAGGCCGTTTTAACAGAGTGTCAGGACTCCTTGTCATTTGTAGGCAGGAGACAGGATGGGTCTTATTTTATACAGGGTGTGGGATGTACGGGTGGGCAATATATTCCCCTCCACCGTCTGTTAGGCCAGGGTCCATCAGTTGTGGTGTCGTGGTTCAGCATCGCTGGGCGTCAGCGGTGGTGGGCAGGGTGGCCGGGGCAGCGGGGCCCAGCCCGGGTTTTACTGAGGTGGGGTGGCAGGTCATGTTCCTGTTCAGGGTGGAGAAGGGTCATCCTGCCAGCGCCTTTTTAAACTTGTTTGACTGTGGCTAAATATGCAGTGTGGCTGCGTAGGACCAAGGCCTGCTGCAAGGGCACGGTGCTGGATGCCGTGACCATGTGTAAGAATCGCTTACTTTTATTGTCTGCTGGGTTCCACTCCCTGCAGAGGTTTTTAACTGATTATGCGTCTCTGGTTCCTTTCCTGTCTCTTGTGGGTAGGTGATTGGTTTGGGATGTTTTCTGAGGGTGGTGTGTTTCTTGACGGGGTTTGTTTTGATGGGGTGAGTTGTCATTTTACTTCCTCACTTTTTGTATTCTGCTGTTTTGGGGGGGGTTTGCATTCTTGTTGGGTTTGCGGGGTGGGCTTGCTTTGTTGCTTGTGTCTGTTCTGTGTTTGTCCTGATTTTAATTGGCTGTTTGGCTGATCGCATTGTTATGCTTTCATTAAAATGGCTTTTTTTCTTTTAATGCCACATCTGCATGATGATGCCGTGCTGCACCCTGTGTGTGGGAGGGGGGCGTGGTTCCTGGTGCCCGTGGCCCACCCTCATCCCTGCTGTCGCACCGCGTTGGCGGCTGCTGTGCTGCATTGTATTCTGAGTGGTTTAATAAATGTCCGATCTCAGAAGCTAAGTAGGGTCAGGCCTGGATAGTACTTGGATGGGAGACTGCCTGGGAATATCAGGTGCTGTAAGCTTTTCATGCCTTTATTACACCAGGGGGTGATCTTCTCACAAACTTGTTACTCCCACTTAACATTTTACAAATTATTCTTAAGAGGCAGCTTTTTACAGTTTTCCACTAAGTACTGATATCATTCTTGTTTAACTCACCGCTTCTATTACAGCTTAATATTTAGGCTAGTGGGCATCACAGATGGATTAGGGCTGGAAACTCGTCTGCCGCACAGAGAAACTGCCGGGGCTATTCCTAGAGAGAAAAGGCCGTCATTTTACAATGGAAAACTCTCTGCTCAGGTACGGCTGGGTTTTTTGCACTATTTTGTATTTTACTACAATATCATCTCATTTCAACATGATCATATAAATCTTTGTCAAGTCTGTCTACCAAATATTGCATTATTGCATGTATAATAAAATATACTACCCGTTTTTAACAAACCAAATTTCATGGAAATTTGTTCAGAATTAAGCGGGTTACAATCGATTTTGCAGAAGAGTCTTCATCTCTTAATACACTGTATTTGTTCACTAGGGGATCTTGACCGCTCCAATATGCAGGACTTAGTGGCAACATACAACAGCAACATAGAACAGTGGGACAAAGGAGGCTTTCATTGTAGTGCATGAATAAGGTTACAGTCATAGTGGAATGCTGTAGAACACCATAGAAGGGCCATCTGCCAGCTGAAAGGATACAAGGGATCGTGGTTTTTTCTTCTGATGTCCCAGTTAAGATGATCACACCCTGTGTAAACAATCAGGAAGCACATAAGTAAAATATTACTTAATTACGGTTGAGATGTGGAAGATTAGTCTTATATTAAAAGTAAATGTGCATAAAAGAGTTGCTTCTTCACTTCCTTAAGCAATAAAATTAAGTAGAAAATATGATACACGTGGGTGTGAGTGTGAAAATGTAATTACCATGTTGGTAGATTAGGATCCAGGTATGGAGTTTGTTTCCAAAAGCCAAATTCTTTTCAGAGTATGGGGTCAAAAGCCCATACAGGGGACAATGTAAAAATAATGAATTCCCCACATACACTTGTTCTGTGCAGGGTTGCAGGGCTCTGGAAAAACTCATAAAACTACAAAAGTTTGTACCAAAAGTCTACAAGAAGTATTGATGCTTAAAATTTTGTGTGGAAATGGCAGACGGGCATCATGGAAACTCACCGCTCTTGAGTTTGGAATTCCGCCCCCCCCCCCCCGGCATCTTCTGGAATTGCTTAATGTGCTCCACTGTTTGCTGGATAATGCTGGACTACGTGTTCGAGTTAAAGCGAGCATGGGAAGCCAAAGCACAGAGGGCCAAATCCAAGCCTCACTGTCTCAGCAGGGGCCTTTTTTAATGATTAATTTTGTGTCACATAGAAACTTTTTTTCAGAGAGGATGATTTTTGCATGCATGGAAGTTTGTTATACTTGTGATTTTTCATGGGACTTGAACATAAAACTTCACCATTTTTCCCATTTTAGTGAACAGCTCAGTAAATAATGTTAGAGATCTATGTAGTGTCTATCTGGTGAGCATGCACATACTGTAACTGCAAAAATAATTAACACATGACCTCAACAGGCATAAAAATACTTTTAGTTTTTGAAGTACAAAAATTCTGTCACATTCCCACCATGCATTGTAGCAGCCCTTGATATATTATACATATACAGACATTTAGTTAAAAAGAAAAACTATGCGTTCAGTTAAACAGAAAAGGCACCTTGTATTTTGTTAGTCCACATAGCGACAGGCAGACAGAAGACTGAAATCTTTCCCTTTGCAAAATTCTCAATTGCGTATAGAGAAATGCAATGAAGAATATTTTGAAGATTCTGGCTAATCTCTAAAACAAACTAATGCTCAGTGTCTTAGGCACCTAAAGGCATGAGTTCTCTTCCCCGTGAATCAGCACCCTGGTCTCTGGCTGCAAACCGCGATAGTGGCCATCGTTGCTGGGGTATCTGTCCCTTATTTGCCACACACAGCAACTGGGCATGATGGGGCTGGCATCTTCCTGCAAGCCCTCCAGGCGCCAGTCGATGTAGAGGCTGTATGCACAGTGCCGGAGGTTGCGGATGGCGCCCCCCTCAGACAGGTCGAGGAGCGGCTCCCGGTAGAGCAGCACTGACTCCAGGACGACCCTGCTGAGCAGCAGGCGGTCGAAAAGCGGCGACGTGGTCAGGCAGCTTCCGCGGCTCTGCCGACAGCACAGCTGCTCCTGCAGGCTATCGGTGGGGCGGCACCGGCCACACAGGCACCAGGCCGGGCAGTCCGATTGAGGCATTTCCTGCAGCTCTGTGCCCGCTTTCTGCCTGGGGGGGATCTGCAGCACAGCTGCCAAGGCCCTTGTTCTCGCTGCGTTGTCCTGGCATGTCAGACGTGCGCACACAGACACAAACGTGCAATCAAAAATCAGGTTGTCATCATTGTGTCCTAGTGACATCACAAAGAGTCTCCCTAATGGACCAACACGAGCAGTCGTCATTCAGACTGGGGGGTTAAATGATTAACAGCCGACTGGCTTTAGTTTTCTACATTTATTTGCTGCTTACTAGGAACAAAATGATGGCAAGATGGTGGGTGGACAGCTGGAGTAAGTGTGTACGTGAGGCACCTTCTTATGGTTTTTTAATGTCAAAAACCAACCCTATTAAACATTTTGGAATTGGAACTGGACTAAGCCTCATGCTGACACACTTCTGAGCTCATGTTCCTCTGGTCTTAAATAACCAAGCATCTTCTCAGAAAGACACAAAGTTGAACTTGTAGTGATACGTCTTTTGAAGTTGGGTTCAGCCTACCTTCTTTGGATGAGTAGCCACGGCTTTGACCTTCTGTAATGGTTTCTTACGAGATGGCTTCACCAACCTGAGATGATCCTCATCCACGAAGGAGACGCAGAGCAACTTCTGGCCAGAGAAAAACAAGGTGATTGAGCCATGGCTCAAAAGACTCCTCTGCTTTGATGTGTCCGGAGGCGCTTACTGTGGCAGTACAACGGCCACGACAGGTGGTCAGGGAGGCGCAAGTCACAGAGTAAAGTGTGGTTCTCTTCTCACCTGCTTTCTGGCCTCAACAGACTCAACCTTCATCTTCGTGAAGTCCTGCTGGGCCTCTTTTGCGTAGCAACTGGTGCTGATGAGCCAGTCGATAAACACAGTGGTCTGGAGAAGGCATAGTTCAGAGAGCCGTTAGTGCCCACAGCGCCATAGGAGAGCCAGCAAGTGAAGAAGGGAGCCGTAGAATTAAAGAATAAAACTCACCACGGCATAGTAGGAAAGCGTCGATCCAATGTAAATGATCAGCTGAATGATGCTAAACTTTCCTGCCTTAAAGGAGACAATTTCACTATGATTTACCTTAAAATTAGTTTATGGAATCATCATTCATTTAAAAACTCATGGTCAAAATTTACTTCTATAGCACATTTCAAGTAACCAAAGTTGATCAAAGTGCTGAACAGGCACAAATTAATAGTAGATATAGTAAACAGGATATTTTAAATAGAGAAACTAATAAAACATTTTGAGTCATATTAAGGATAAAAATAGAAGAAACTACATTATATGCACAAAAGTATTAGGACACCTGGCCATTACACCCATGGGACCTTTTATGACACTATTCTAAATCCACAGGCATAGTCATGCTGGGACAGAACCAAGACATTTTGGACAATTCTACCCTTCCAACATTGCGGTAATAGTTTGGGGAAGGTCCTTTGCTGTTCCAGCATGACTGTGCCCCAGTGCACAAAGCAAGGTCCATATAGACATGGTTGGGTGAATCTGGTGCAGAAGAATTTGACTGGCCCACACAGAGCCCTGACCTCAACCCAGCCAGGCCTTCACGTCCAATATCAGTGCCTGACCACACAAATGCTCTTCTGGATGAATGAGCAAAAATTCCCACAGATATACTCCAAAATCTTGCGGAAAGCCTCCCCAGAAGAGTTACAGCTGTTATAGCTGCAAAGGGGGAACCAACTCCATATTGATGCCTATGGATTTAGAATGGGATGTCATAAAAGTTCCTGTAGGTGAAATGGCCAGGTGTCCCAATACTTTTATCTATATAGTGTATAAATAAATAACCAAATAAATAAATAAAATTCCAGTTAGGAAAGTCAAAGATGTCATGCCCTACGTGAATCAAACAATATTTCAAATAAATGACACTTCATAAGGGACTTAGACGTTTCTACAGACTGGGCAGTTTTGATATGTAAGACCAAACTACTGCAAAAGGTATGAACCGGCACTGCAAACACACGACCCTGTCGACTTCTATGCTTAGATCTGAGAACATCCAAAACCATCAGGCTGGAAGACCTAAGGGTTCCGCTGGCGGAATGGAGGCACAGAATTTCTGCAGATATTTTGCTGCCGGCCAGTTTAAGGCCTTAAAAGCAAACAATAATATTTTTAAATCAATCCTAAGATGTACAGAATGAAGTGAACTGGTGAAATATGGTTTCACTTTTTCTTTCCTATCAGAAGAGCTGCATCTGAATTTTGGACTAGCTATAAATGATAAATGGACGACTGAAGCAGAAAAATCCTTCAGTGACTGATTGTAAGAGAATTTCCATGACTTAGTGTATTCCTTAAATAAACATAATGGTTTTACTGAGCAACTGGACCATGTAAATAACACCCCAAGCTTAGTTCTATAATATACAGCTCTGCAAATAATTAAGAGACCTCTCCATATGTTTTTTTAATCTGCATTCTTAAATCCTGGTTTAATCCTGGTTATAATGGCAGATGGTTACACAGCATCAGGCTGCACCCAGGTTCAAAATTTCTAAGACAGCAGGACACAGGGCAGAAGCCACTTTCTAATGGCAGAGATGACCATCAACTTATCCAATAGTTTCTCATAAATCGGAGGATGACCTCAAGTGACCTTCTAAAGGAATGGGAAACATTAAGTGCAGGTGTGAAGTGCACTGCTAGGACGATTTATAACAGGCTCCTAGAAGCAGGACTGAAGTCCCATAAAGCCAGGAAGAAGCCCTTCATTATTGAGATGAACCAGGCTGCAGTTTGCAAAAAAATGTATATTTTACACAGACACATACCCTATAACTGAGAAATGAGTGAAACTGAAAATTTTGCTGTGGTCTCTTGATTTTTTCCTGAGCTGTATTTTGATTTCAATTAACTAAAGTGATTTCAAGAGGGACACATTGATTTAATTTTTGTCCAGAAAAAAACATTATCATACTGACCATTCCATACACTAAAACATCAAACCTGATGCCAAACACTTTATAAAGTGTCCTTGTTTCCACTCCATTCTCATTGTAATACCTTGCAAACCTGTAAAAAACAACAGCCGTTTAGACATATTAAGTGTGCTGAACAGACTGGGGCTAAAGAACATAAAGTAACTAAGGTATGAGGCAAAACAGAAAGCATCATGCCAGTACTTCCCCAACGGCCCAAAACACAATTAAGAAGCATTAGTAACCATGTCCTGACTTCCTCTTACCTGAAACTGAGCCCAGGGTAGACAGTGCGGTTGCTTTGCTTCTCATCAAGCCTCTGGAAGGTGTACACGGGCCGACAGTGTCGAAAGAACTGGTCAAGATCACAGTTCCACTTTATGTTGACCCCGATTATTCCTCCCTGAGGTCAGAAATAGATGTGGGAGAGAAAGAGAGGCAGATATCTGTGTGAAGTACCCTTTTGTGCCCTATAGTCACCAGACCATTCACATAACCCTGCACTGAATAAGCAGTTGGAAGATTAATGAGATTCTGTACGTTTATTTTCATCATTTATTAGGCCTTTGTATCTTTTTTTTTTTATATATATAAACGTAAAGTTTTCCAGTTATAGACATTTGCTGAAGAGCTGATTGCTAAGTATCTCACACAGTCATTGTGGTCAACATTTATGGCGCAAAGATCCATGGAACCTTCAGGAACTATAACCGAGTGCCTCACCTCCACTGCCATTTCTGTGAAATTCTCCTTAGCCTCTTTTACAATGTCGCCCAGGCGGAAGATGGGGCACAGCGGGTCTTTCTGTCGATTGTACATACAGCCCTTCAGATAGGTCTCTGTCATCTCTGGTAGGATGTTCCTTCTGCACAAAGAAAGGTTTCTCTCTTTTTTACTTTGCCTTTGTTTTTGTTCTCATTGTGGTTTTGTGTTACGATACGTCTCTTGGGCCTAACTTTACTCAGAAAGGGGCCTAACAATGCAAATTTTCGCTCCATGTCGGGTGAGATGACTGGTCTTACTTGAAGTAGTTGAAGGCTGGGAATCGGATATTGTTCTTTATGAGTACGGTGAAGTTCTCTGCTGCCAAGAAGAGGGCAGGCCTGGAAGGTATGGTGGTCACGTAACTTCAACAGTCATGGGAAACATGAATATGAACATTCATAAATGATTCTTGCTGGTTTAATCTACAATAGCTGAATATAACGGCTGTTCCCTGAATATGTGTGCCACCCTCTCTTTCTGGCCTTCCAGTTACTCGTCAAATAATGGCAAAACTGGAAGAACCGCCTTTGGTTACATTACTGAGCATCCAGCATTATTCAAGTAATTTAAGCTGTGTGAATCACAGAGGGTAACACAGTATAGTGGGGCTTTATTTATGCCCCATGGGGGAATTTGTCTTTTTGCCTGTCCCATCTTGCTCCCCATGAGAAACGCATACAGGTAAGAGCACAGGCCCACAGAACCACACAGCACCCCCAAAGGGAACCAACACCCCAACTGGGCAAACGTGCTGCGTAAGCAGAATTGGACATGAGGCTTTGAGGAACCACAATTTGGTTCACCAAACACACTTTTTCTTAAGTTTCACAATAGCACAGTTCCTCAAAGTCTGGGTTTCAATGCAAAATATAGCTGCACCATACGTCTGGGCTTTTTTATACTTCCCTACTTGTTTCTTGGTTAAACATATTTGATTTGTTTTGACAGAGTTCAGTTTTTTTTTTTTTAAAAAAAAGGATAATTGTTCTGCCTTTATGATGAATAAAAAGGCAAACAATGAATATGATTCACTTGGCCCCTTTAATCTACAGCCAAGGCGACTTGCTACGTACAGTAAAATAATCTTTAAAAAGTAGTTAATGCCTCAACATGCATAAATCTGCTGCCGCTCTCCGTACTGCACCTGTGTACCTGGGCGGTTTCTTTGTGGTCTCAATGGGACACCAGGCGGACACCTCACAGGTCTTATGCGTGGTGTCGAATTTAACACAGGCCCCCGTCTGGACCCCTTGGGTAAATGCAGGGTGATATAAATGTCAACAAAAATGAAAAATTAAGATCATCAGCAACAGACTTGTTTCAACTCATTTGTTTCTTTGCCAGCCTTGGGTGTACCACAAACTGCAGGTACATGCATCTGATAAGTGTGGCTCAGCCAGTGAACCCATGCTGCACGAGTGTTTGGTTACTGTACCATGACTGTGTTGGTCCCAGTAACCCTTCTCACAGTCTTTGTCTGTGAAACACCGCTTTCCACTGCTCAGAACCTGCAATTTACAGACCAATCAGTGGATGTTTGGTATATATAGGTTGATTTCCCTACTGATTAATTTTAATATACCACAGATAAAACAGTACAATTATGAAACAAAAGAAAATGAGAACATATGTGCTCTTGGATCTGTAAGAAAGTGTTTACACTTGGTTTTAAAATGCATCTTGGGCCATCGCAAGTAGACAGCGCTAAATGCAGGTGTAAACGGCCCCTGAGACGCATTGCAATCCGATCACTCAAACCGCTTACCGAGCACCTCTGGGACGCCTTTGACCACATATCTTTTGTAGTGTAAAAGCTAATGCATCCACAACAAGAACGTTACAATAACTGTGCAACAAAATCTCAATAGAAGACACAGGTGTTAACGACAACGTGTCTCAGTTTCTGCTTACAATACAATCGGCCAAGACGCATTTTAAGACTGTAAAAATGGCCTCAGTGTCCTATCCCGCCTGGGGCCCTCCCCAAAGATAAGGTATTCTTAGCTTCTACAGCCAAGGACACACCCCAGTTTTTTTTCTTCCAGAACAGTCTTTGCTTAGTCTTAACAAACAAAATGCTGCCATATGTCCATGTAGAAGGTCACAAAGTTTGGAGAACATAAAACAGGTGCGAAAACATGCAAAACATGCAAAAATAGTGTAACAGCATATTGGTAAGAATACATGATTAAAAATACATAATTTCACACAACCCCCTTTGATCATTAATCAAACCATTAGGCCTACATGATCAATAAAGCAAGCAAGCAATCACAACTTTTCAAAACAGAATGGCCAGTTCAGTTACTTTCTACTAAGAGATAAATAATGCGCAGGTGTAACACTTCAGTCCAGAGTTTGCAAAAACCAAACTTTCAAATGAAATGTGTGCTCTTGTAATACTTAAGTAACTCAAATATAAACTCACCTCAGGACATGTTCCCAGTTTCTGTCTCTTGGTGATTATTACATTGGTCACCACGAAAAACGAGTTTTTCTCCTTCAAGATAAATTGTCTCGGTTTCATTTTAATGCCAACAAAATACAATATAAAACATAAAATTCGGGGAGTTGTGGCACGTAAAAAACGTTTGCATGATCTCATAAGCGTCATTTTGGGCTTTTACCTTGAAGATGCCGCTATGGTCCACGACGTCCCACAGCATCGCTCCGACGTCCGGACTCTGTGCCATCACTACCCCTTTTACCTTGGTGGTCACCGAGCTCACCACCAAGTCATGCTCTTGATATTCCTTATTCCAGAACATCATGATGCTGTTAATCGAAATAATGAGTCATTTAAACGATTAAACATCCTGCGGCAAATATGCGGACTATTACAGAGGCGGACATGCTTTGGGCGAAACACCAGCAGGACAGATATTTGTTCCTCTAATTCCGACACAAATCGACACAACGGCTAAGAAACATCACGAAGAAGTCCAGGCGAAGCAAAGGGAGAACTGTTCGCATAGAACCTCCTTTTGAAAACTTCAGATGAATGATACTGCGTGGCAGGGAATGTTTCCAGCCAGATGCAGAAAAACAAAGTGTAACTTACCATATAAACATAAAAATGACCGTGTTGAAAGTCCATTTAAGCGATCCGAGTCTGCCGCTCTTTATTCTAACTAGTTTGTTCGTTTCGTATTGGAACAGGCCGAAAATATCGCACGGCATAACTGCGAAAAATATTCTATTCCCAGAGCTAAGAAAACAGCTGCAGTCACATGGCCGCTGCAATCGCCCGGTGCTCCGGCGCGGCTTCCCGACGCCACTGAAGCCACCCACCGCGGGTGTGGCAAGCATGGTTAGCGGCAAAACGATCATCAAATTCACGGAAATAACGTATAGTAAAACATGCCCTGCATATCCAGCCAAGGCCCAAAAACAAATAAGCAAACAAATAATTAAATAACACAATGTTCCGTGTATGTATGTGAGCGCGCGCGCGTGTGTGTGTGTACTGTATGTATATGAATATACAAACAACCAAAGTATACACAAAATTAGTATAGTGCTATATTTAATGTTCACTGCAATTAATGTTCATTCAACCACAGGAGCTGGGCCCTGGAGCTAATTATATTGCATTCAGTAATGAAATTGAGTTTTAAAAACAACTGATGGATTAATTTCCCTGAAGACTGAGATGACGTTGCTGCATTCAATAATTTGACTGGTTATTATATGCCTAACTTTGCCATTTAAATCTTTAAATGTGCTTGGAATGAAAACCTTTTATTTAGCTGAATGGAAAATGATATGGAAATGAAAATGCAAGTCATCGAAAGACAATGAATTGAAGATCATTTCCATAAGGCTGCAAAAATGCTTTTTCTCATAAATTGAAATATTGTAGAGTGTATAGAGGCTTCATGGAAAAAATATTTTGTGCTATGGAAGACTGACTGGATGTTGTTAAGCAAATGAACTAATTTACATGTATGTAGTGGGGCACGTTTAAAACTGCATATGAAACATTATATCTGAGGAGGCTATCGAGGGGACAGCTGGCGTATGCCGTAGTGAATTTCCAGAATGGGGCCCAATGGATTTCAGAATTCTTAGGCAGCAGGCAAATCTCCCATGAGACAGATTGTGGTTTTATGGTGCTACAGTGCTCACGGGGTTATTATTATTATTATTATTATTATTATTATTATTATTATTATTATTATTTACATCAAATCAAACTTCTTTGATATTTCAGAATATGCAGGCAAGAAATGAAATTCGTGTTTATCCAAGACTTTAAATACAATATGACAAGTTAAACAAACAAGACGATCATGAACAAATAAATAAATATGCTGTACGCAGTGCAACTTCATGCTAGGCTGACGCAGTGTGGGATTGATACTGTAGATCTATAGTATTATCGCAGTTTAGAAGCATTATATAAACAGCTTATGGTGAGAGAAGTGGCTGCATATAGTAAAGTACAGTGTGAAGTTCAGCCGATGTTCTCAGATGGGAGCGCTGATGTAGTGGTGCGTTAAGGAGTCCGATGGAATGAAGCTCTTGCAGAACCTAGGGCAGTGTTACCTGACCGGGTCCTTGGGGACCCGCAGACAGTCCGCATTTTTGCTCCCTCCCACCTCCTCATGCATTTAGACTCCTTAACTTTTATATAGACTACTTTTTATATGTTTCTATATTATTAATACTTATTCTATTAATTTATGTTATTTAATTTGGCTACTTCACTGCTGGTGTGCCACTACATTTATGCATGTGACTAATATATCTTGAATCTTGAACCAGATATCATTTTGCCATTTATGCATTATGCTCCATGTTAGTTGCCAAAAGCTGCTTTATTTTAAAGTACATTTTTGTTTATTGAATTGATTCAATTCAATTCAATTTAATTTTATACAGCATCTTTCACAACAGAATCGTCCCAAGGTGCTTTACATGGATGCATTGTGATACATTAAACATCATTAGAGAGAGTAATACAGAAGGGGAAAAAGGAAGGAAAGAGATTAAAGAAAGAAAGTCAGATGACAACGGAGGAGAGGAACCAAAAACTCCCAAGTAAGGAGAAAAAAACCCTCTGGGGGCCCAAGGTCAGCTGGCTGCCCAACCCCCCCCCCCCGGCCGTACTAACATTAGTCAAAACAGAAGAGAGTGGACATGCTTGCTAAAGGCAGGTTTAAACTGTGATTATGAATCGAGACAAAGTCCATCAATGAGTCCGTTATCCACACTGGCCTGTATAGGGTAGCGCTGAATGCTGCATCCATGATGATACAGTTCGTAGATCCCATTCGCAATTTCACCCGTCCATGAGACTCCAGCCCAGATGATGCCCACCCCGCATATGGGAAGGCAGAGAGCATGGATGGTCAGAACATGTGTTAGGAAACTAAATAGACAAGCATTTATGGCCATATATGTATTCCACAGATATTCTGTATCTTGTAACTGAACAAAAAAACACATTTTATTGTTACTATTGCCAAAGCTACTTTTCTCAGGAGCAAAGCCTACAGCTAAGAATTTTTTTGGTCCTTGCAATGTGTCATCATCACAGAATGGAAACGGATTTTTGTCCAGTTAGAATTACTTATTACCACTACTGGTGTGTGCAGTGGACTGTATAATTTACTTGATTGTTGAAACAGTCTTACTGTTTTTTTTTTTTTTTTTTTAATTTTCAGTTATTTAGGGAGTGTACTCGCAATTTGTAATGTAATTAATATAAAACATATTTCCTATGTGATTCATGTGTATTTGTAATAGTCTGTCATACATTCAAAAGAGAATTTAAGATAAACAAATGCATAATATTGATGAGCATTAAGTGCTAAAAAATAATTCTTAAGAAAGAAAACGACAGCTTGTAAACTTTTTATTTTTCACCAGACTCAGTTACATTGTCAATTTAGGTGCGTTAAAGACCCTAAGGAGAATTATTACTTACAAAATCTGATTGTCACTTGTTTTGAAACAGTGAAAGTCAAAGTGGTGACACCCGCATATTAAAGCAGATTTTTGTCTGAATATACTGAAGATCACATGACTCATTTATTTATTATTTGCATGAGAGCTTGAGTCTTTATAAGAAGCACACTTGGTTAGGCATCAGAACGATTAGGAGGTGTACGGGATCATGGAGACAGTTTTTGGTATGCGTGACTCTGAATTCAATGCCACAATTTGTATGGTGTCAGTGGGATTCTTGTTGAACACCCTTAACCTTGTTGCGACTTTTCTCCACAACCTGAGGATGGCAAACGTTCAGACCATCTCCCTGGTCATCTCCAGCATCTCCCTCAGCAACATGATTCTGGATCTCACCACATTCGGCCTGGTGGCCACGACGAGAGCCGGATTATGGTGCCTAGGCAAGCTTCACCCAATTACCAAGCTTGTGATCTTCTGCTGGCTTCATAGCAGCTGCATGAGCTTTTGGTCGATCTGCTGGCTGAGCGTGTTTTACTGGGTGAAGGTAGCGAGGGGCTCCTCTCTCCTCATCGAAACACTGAAGAGGAACATCTCTGCCATCATCAACACAGCTCTTCTGCTGACGTTACTAGGCTCTACTTTAATGTTTATCCCAGTACTGTTCCTGGAAGAACAGAATTTCTCATCAGTTACTGCTTCTACTAACTACACACAAAATGTGACCTGCCTTTATGTAACACCGGTCTTCCCACCTTGGATTAACACAAACATCTACGCTTGCGTCTTAATTGCTTTCCTTTGCCCTCTCCCTCTGATGGTCATGGTATTCAGCTCCATGAGGCTTGTAATGTATATCTGTGGACACACCCTGTCCATGAAGAGGAACAAGACCGAAGTGCAGAACATGGACTCTTACCTGCTGGTCTGCAGGCTGACTGTATCTCTTGTGGGGGTCTACTTGACCAATTTGGCCGTAGTTGCCCTATACTTTATCTGTTCTATTACCAAGCGGAACATCAGTACGGTGGTAATTATGGCGAGCTATTCGATTTATTGCACAGCAACTGCCATTCTTTTGACAGCATCTAACAAACACCTGAAAGAAATGCTCTCGGAACTTTTTTGCTGGAGGAAAGCTCTGAAAAAAGTGGGAGACAGTACCCAGGGTACGAATTAACACTGCTTCAGCCTGACTTGCCCTTTCATGATCTCAACGTCTGGCAATAAAGGGAATAATGATGCGTTAACGAGTGCTAACAGTTACTTAAATGAATGTTTTGTTGCATAAATTAATGTTTTGATGCCAGCTACGTAATATGAACTTACAATATTACAAAAACCCGCCATGTCGGTGTGATATAATCATTTGTTACTTTATCTGAGTCATATTTAGCTGTCTTTATCTGTCAAAAGCTGTTTTCAGATACTTTATTCAGAGGTGAACATGAAAGCCTTCGGCAACAACCGCCCACCTGTGCATTTATTTTGCTTTGTTCTTTATTTTTGTAGGATTTTATACATCTGACCTGCTAGTACGAATTAGGCTGCTAAGTGTAATGTTGAGAAATTAAAACTGGTCCAAATAAAGTGGGATTTACAATGGACTGTTTTGATTATATCAATTGTGGGGTTTTTTTGTTTAGTTTTATAATAGATTACATATGAAATTGTCGTTATTGCCATGCTGAATATTTGACTAGTCTGTTGTTATTGTAATACTTCGTTTGCATTTTTTTAATAAGTCAGATATGATAAACGCATTTTCCTCTTCGTGTGAATTGGACTCTTTATTTAGGTCACCTGAATTAGACAACAAAAAAATCAGCCTCTTTTTTTTAGTAAAAGTTGCCTGATTGCTGTCTAAATCTTGGCCTATATTTTCCTATAATTGTGTTTATAGCTATGGGGTCTTTTGAGACGAAAAAAATGCACTTAGAAACAGTTGAGTTCCCCCTCCCCTTCATCACAGTGGTTTGGCCAACTGCCTGCGTTCCCAGTTCATCTCACCTACTCTACACACACGAATCAGGTGTGTGGCTGCGGGTCAGTTAATGTTAAACTGCAGTAAGTAGGGTATTTTATTTACTTTAAGTAAAGCGATTCTATTTAATGTAGTTGATGCAGACTCATTAATAAATTAGTTGCGGCAAAAATGCTGATTACCGATGTAATTTTCCATGAATCTGCTATATTAGCGATTAAAATATTACTTATCTAGTTAACGTTAGCTTGTTTACAATAGCTTGTTGCATAGTGCACTGCAACTAACACGCCAAAGCCGTTTCTCATGCAACGTTTTATACGTTGGTAAAGTTAGTTTGCGGTTCGTTTTTCACGTTGCAAACGGCCATAAAAACCTTATATATGCACGAAAAAATACGAATTATGGCTCCTTGTGATAGTCCTGTTGTGTGAATTCAGAAAATATAAATACATTGCGTAAAAACAGCCTTTAATGTATTTTGACCAGTTATTTTCATTAGCTTCTCACGTCAAAACCAGACATCCTCATGACTCAAAAAGCGTCTCATATTAAACATCCTGATTTGTGAAAAATTTCACAACTGATAATTAGTCCATATATCGCGTGTAAACCCATAAGAAACACATTGAAAAACGCGCGTTTTAAGGAGGACCGGACAGATAGTTCTTAAGGTGGACCAACAGTATAGCCCAAATACACACATTTTAATAATTCCATTAATCATACATGCATTTAAACTGGTTAAAACTGATCAAGATGACTTGTGATGGTCAAACAAAGACCTTTCACATCTTCATATACCCCTCAGACACTGACATCGATTTGTTAAAGCTTTCACAAGTCATATTTTAAGAGTTATGACTGATTAAAGGCCCTAAAAATGACCAAGATGACCTCTGACTGACCAAATCAAAACTTTCACACCTTCATCTAACCCAGAAGGACTCACCCTGATTTGTGAAAGTTTTCAAAAGTCATATTTCAGGAGTTATGAAATATTTATAATAGTAATGACTGAAATCCTATGACATGAAATAAGCACAACAGTACATGGAAATTCAGTTGTGATGAACATCTCTGAAGTCCATGTGTGCTCCTTGACACAACAGACATTACAACAATGATACATGAACTTCTCTGGGTTGTGAAAGTTCAAAAATGTTATGTTGAAAGTTGAACATCATTTTATTACAATGAACTATTAGTGTAGTTTAAACATTACATCAAATAGAACAGTAACATAATATTTAACAAATTACAATTATTAATAAACAATAAAACAATAACTTAATAAAATTCACAATGTTAGTTTTTACATATTATGTACAACATATACAAAACCATGTTTTGTTTGGGTTACTGATGGTGTCAATTTCCTATTCTGTGAGGTCTGTGCATTTCACGTGTGTCCACAACATGCACTCGTCACATTGGATCTACACAGAAAATCACCCAAACAAAACATGGTTTTGACACATACGAGGACTGGTAACGTGCGTTCGTAAGACGTATGACCGGAAGAGGGCAAAGTCAGGATACAGGCAGCTGGGAACAAGGGAGGCAGCGCGTATAGTTTGGTTTTTTAGTTGATTAACTTCTCAGCCGATAGCTCCCTTTTGTTATGTTTGAGAGTGTGCGTGGATATACAAGTAAGTGTTGCATTACAGACAATTTACATTAGTTACTTGTGCACTTACCGATAACTGCATTACTTCCCTAAGTTGTGGAAGCGGGATTTAATTGTAATTCCCTGATTTCATTAATACTTAGTTTAAGTTATTCATGTTTATATTGGTATTCCATTTAATTCACGAGTGTGTTGCATTTAACCGGATATATATGTTATTTGCCTTTTATGTTACCAGTAGCGATGTGCAGCCGCTAAATAAGTATGTTAAAGTGCGTAAGATTGATTGATTGTATTATGGGATGTATTGCACTGGGTTCATTAGGTGAGAGCATAATCCTTATTATGTTGATTGTAGTGTTTAATTTAAGTTTGTATTCATTTTAGAACCACACTCACAGATGTTCTGCGCATGTACCAATATTCCTGGGTTCTACGCATAATTCCCCTGCAAGTAAACCAACTAATGACTAGTCAATGGTGTCTGACTCTTCCTATTAAGTTCAGTATACATTCACAGTCCTGACCGACTGCCCGCAGCGTTTCTACTTCACCCGAACCAAGTGTCAACAAGTCACCCTACAGTTCATATTATGCATTTAAACAGTCGTTTAAATTTTATTGTATGTTGATGGCTTGACTGTAAACAACATAACAAACAATGCAATAAATAGTTTTGAAGAAAAATCTGCTTTGTCATTGAACCTGAGGAAAAACTTAGAAAATAACCACAATGACGCAGTCTCCATGCTACAATAATAATGATAGAAGCAAAGTTTTTCATTGTGGGGACATATCTTTATAAGTACAATTTGACTGTATTATTTGTGTCCCCTCAAAATTTAAGTTAAATATACACATTGTAATCCCTACCAGGGAAAAATGTTTTATACTTAGACAAAAATTTGATAAATCAGGCACTAAATTAGAATCTTTTGTAATAATACAAAGCAAGTGACAATACATAGCAGATGGTGGAAAAATATTTGTTATATTTGTATGAATGCTATCTATGGTTGCTTGTAGTTTAGCCAAATTACTTTATGCGTTATACCGGACACAAAATAATATATGAAATAAAGCAGCAATTGCACTATATGAACAAACGTATTGGGACAACTGGCTATTAGACCTACAGGAACTCTTATGACATCCCAGTCTAAGTCCATAGGCACCAATATGGAGCTGGTACCCCCTTTGCAGCTCAGTCAGGTTCTTCCACACCAAACTCACCCAACCATTTCTTTATGTATCTTGCTTTGTGCACTGTGGCACAGTCATGCTGGAACAGCAAAGGGCCTTCCCCAAACTGTTACCATAAAGTTGGAAGCATAGAATTGCCCAAAATGTCTTGGTATGGAAGAACTTGACTTTTGTCCATATAGTGTATCATTAAGGCTATTATTTCTATTACACCAGGACCTATATTAGTGTTTAGATTTCATTAAATTCAGTTTTCATTTGAAAAGTGTGGTTGCTTTAGTTTTTATTTTAAATATAGAATATTTTTGTTTAGTTTTCATATATTTTCATTTCTGTCATGCATGGACAGTGGCGTGATGATCCATACACAACTCTTTTCAAAAGCTGTAGGGGGACTTTATTACACACACTACACCACTAACAAAAGGACCACGAGAGGTCAAGACTAATAAAACTAGAAAGAATAAGGGCTAAACCAAAAACTGGACAATAGTAAGGAAAACAGTTACAAAGAACGCTAACTGGGATCTGCAAACACTAACATGCCTCTACAGCTACACGTGCACAGCACTAATATCTACAATGACCGCCGGATGAATAGGGCAAAGGCAAGCCCCTAAATACACTAATAAAGAGAGCTAGGTGGAAGCCATATTAGCTAAAAACTATGAATCTCACAATGGGGAAATAGGTATGCTACAAGAGAAATTGATCACAAAAAGGCCTAGAATGTGATCTAAGATTTCCAGAAGGTCTTTGATGTTGTCCCCCACAAACGGCTCTTGCTTAAGCTCAAAGCTGCAGAGATTTTAGGAACTGTGGCAGCTTGGATCGAAAACTGGTTAACAGACAGGAAGCAGCGAGAAGTTATTAGAGGCACAATGTCACAGTGGGCCTGCATTCATACTAAGGTACTTAGGACCTCTATTGTTCCTAATTTACATTAATGATATTGACACCAATACATACAGTAAACTGGTTAAATTTGCAGATGACACCAAGGTGGGTGGTGTAGCAGATACTGAACTAGCAGCACAGATTTAATTAACGACTGGCAGATGAAATTTAACGTAGATTAATGTAAGGTAATCCATGCAGGGACACACTAGGCTTGGGAACATTAGGAACAGACAGGATGGCCAGTGACAACTGGACCAGCAGGGACAGATCCTGGCAATTTCTTTTTAGCCATTTTATTTCGCCACTGGTGTGTGAATGTGTGGTGTGGATGGGTGAATGTGAGGCATGTATTGTAAAGCGCTTTGAGTACTCGTAGGAGTAGAAAAGTGCTATATAAATGCAGTCCATTTACCATTTACCATTCTAAGGATAGACTGAAAGTGGTAGAATTATTTTATGTGTCTGATCTTTGGAGAATCCTACACGAATACACAGCACACATTATGTACTAATGTCCTCAAAATGGGTAAAACATGTTCCAGGTATTATTAAACCTCATTAAAGATAAAGTATAACTTTACCTAAACAATATTAAAAACTACAGTGGAAAGTATTTAATGTTTATTTCAGATTCAGAAACAACATTTATAATTTTCATTTGGTTATGGTTTTTTATTCTAGTTTGAATTTTAGTTTTTGTTAGCGATAACAACCCTGACCTATACAAGCAGAGAGAAATGCAGTCAGCTGTCAGTTGAACAGCTTCTGGAGCCGCGGTTTGAGGAACTCCAGCATTCCCTTGTTCTCTATCGTCTGTGGCAGGCTGGCCGCATTCATGATGACCTCATGGGCCTCGTGGAACGCAGCCACCCCCAGCTCCTGCTTCACACGGTCCCTCCAAGCGCTCAGTCTGGGTCTGTCCTTGAAAACATCCAGGCCTGCACCCACAGGCTGAGAGAAACACAGAGTAAGGAAGGTCACCACTTAAACTCAAAGGCTGACAATGAGAACAAGACTCCAGCACAAATACAAATTGCCATTTAAAGACATAATATATAATGAACATAATATAATTTGTTTGCACTGGTAATTTATCTGCACTGTGTATTGTCCTTGCATTTTGTTTTGCGATATATGCTTATTTGTGTGCATTTGACATACCTGCTGTATGCACAAGAATTATTAAAAGTACTATATTTCCTTCAATAGTAAAATTGCAGCTACCAAAACTTCTTTTCATATTTGGAATATGGCCAACCTTAAACAAAATTTAGTAATATTTATTTCCTATTTATCTCAAAGTTCACAATATATATTGTCCTACTGTGCTCTCCTGGTGTGATTTACTTTAAGAGCTTTTCTGATGTGGGAGCCCATGATGTTTTGTGTAGCTTCTGTTCCCATAACAGTCTTACACAGGTTATTCACTAGAAGCTCAGTCTAGCATCACTTGTACTAAAGTTGGTTCCTTGACAGCTGTATGTCTCTGATGTATCACCTGTCTCACTTGTACTGCTAAAAAAAAATACATGTAAATCAACGTACCTGCATCATCTCTGTAATGGCCACTAGGTCAGCCAATGAAATCCGATCTCCAATAATGAAGTGTTGGTCCCGGAGGAACTTTTTCTCGAAAATGTTCAGGGTTGAGCTAAGGTCCTCCAGTGCCGAATCCATCTTTTCCTTGGGTACTTCTGCACCAGTAAGGATGGGAACCATGCACTGTTAAAGCAACATGTCATCAATTTCCAACTCTAACATGAGAAATACCATTTTATGTTACACTACTGCTATTTTCTGGGCCTTAATTCACCACAAATCGATACAGTCTCAGTTAAAGCTACCTGCCTTTTCTGTGTCATTGAACTGATCCACAACAAAACCTACCTCATTTCCTGAACAATAATGTACTTTTTTTCCTTCTATGGTGAAATGCCAGCAATTTTAACTTACGAAATATTAAGCAGTGCACTGAAATATAAAGTAATACTGTATATAAGTATAAATATAAAGTACTATACTTCAGTTGTGGTCTGATTGCAGGAAGAAGGGAGGCTGACTTTTATTACATGATAATTTTGATTCAATTGTAAATGCGTTTCTCCACTGTAACTGCGGTATGAGCAACAAAGCTTCCTGTTATTATGAAGTAGCACAGAACATACAAAAAGAGACTGGGATGAGTGCTCCCTTAGAGACGGAGTGGCTTACTCTGAACCAGAAGACCTTAGAAGCGTGGCTACGAATGGCTGTGTGCTGCCAGGAGAAGTACTCATTCACCCGGGCTTGCTTCTGCACATCAGCAGGGTACCAGTGGTCTGGGGTACTGAACATCTGAACCATGTACTGCAGGATTGCCACACTACGCCACAACAGCATCACAACCATTAACAGCTTCTCCAAGGTCCTCATACAAAGTGAAGAACACCATAAGACACAGACTCCTGGTTGTATCACTTCAAATAGTGGCTATTCCATTGCACTCTTGAAACAGGTATGTATCCATTTTCTGAAACCACTTGTCCTGTTAAGAGTCACAGGGGGTGCAGAGCAAATGGGAACAACCCAAGATGGGGCACCAACCCATTGCTGGGCACACTCACACAGGCAATTTGGTAACTTCAGCTAGCCTCTGTATGTTTTCAGACTAGGAGGGGAACTGGTGTACCTAGAGGAAACCCCACAGGAAAAACATGCAAATTCCACACTCACAGAACCCTGGCAGAATCTCGAACCAAGTTCCCAGACGTGTGAGGCAACAGTGCTAACCACTGCCCCACTGTGCCACCCACACCAGCAAGAGACTGTTTAAAAGCAAAAATGATCACATGAATAATATGTATACCTCTCTGTTAAGATGAAGTCTCCATCTCGCATAACTGGGACCTTCCTCAAAACGCTGATCTTCCCAAACTCCTCTCCATACTGTTCACCTAACGAACAGACGACACATTTATGGTAAGAGCTTAAAATGACAAAAATCAACAGGCCGACATTATGATCCCTTTGTTTAACATATACACAAGCAAGGATATAAAATGGTTCAGATCCCTGTACGGCTGTCCTGGTACGAGACAAATCGGCGGTACATTTGGATAGCTGTCTTATCAGGTTCCTTTTTTTTCTGAAAGAAGAGGTTTAGCTCTTGTACTAATAGCCCTAATGCTAACACTTGTTACTGGGTATCAGGCCCATAACCAGAAATAATTTTCATGGGGTGTCTAGCACCCCTATCTATAGGCTTCCTTCAGTAGACATTTCTTGGGCAGTTATTTTAGTACCTGTCCACATGACTACTGGGCATTCACTGGAAGCTCAGCCTAGGTGCACTCAGCCTAGGTGCCTAATGAACTCCTTCAGAACCTTATGTATATTTGGCCCATCCAAACGAACAGTACCTGACATGACTTTGTCATGAATCAATCAGCCCAACAGGGGGCACTGTTGCTGCATATAAGAGTTCCCGACTAAACTGGCTACGGACTTCATAAGTAAGTCAGAGACTCGCTGCTGCTGCTTTTTCCTAGTACAGTGGTACCTCAGAACTCGAATTTAATCCGTTCAGAACTCCGGATCGAATCCTAAAATGTTTGAGTTGTGATCGAATTTTCCCCATAAGAAATAATGGAATACCAATTAATTGGTTCCCGGCCCCAAAAATTACACCTAAATATGTTTTTTTTAGCATTTAAACACAAAATGAACTGGATAAAACAAGAAGAGCATATACTGTACTAAACACATCTAAGCACATTTATCAAAATAGTAATTTGTAAAGTAAGAAAATAAATGTATCCAAACAATGTGTAAAGTTAAAAAAAACAATGTGTCCTGCCCCGATAGTCCGCTCCTTCCGCGTACCAGGCCCCCTCGTTAACCCCGTGTGGAATCTCCGTGTGATCAGCTGTTTCTGGCTGTTGTCATTAGTCCTCTGTATTTAGTCCGCTTTTCTTTTCTTTTTCCCAGTTCGGTCATTGTATTGTCAGTCTGCGTTTTGCCTGTCTTACCTGTAATTAAACCCCGTATTCCCCGATACACTGACGTCTGCGCCTTTGTCTCAGCAGGACAATATTATTATAATTAAATGTATTAATGGTTTATTATTAATATAAAAAATATTCATAAGAAATCTTTATTTTAAAATGTATTTTATGATATAATAATAATTACTGTTACTGTCTATCATTGTCTAAATGTATTTTTACTGTCTAAATATTGGTATTCAGCTAGTATAAACATGCAGGATGCTATCACAGCGAATGCGAGGCTGAGACTGAAGCATTACCCTTTGTTTCCGCTGAGAGACGTGCTGCGTGACTCATTTCCCGGCGCATACAAGTTATCTTAGGTCGGCATTCACGGTTTGACTTCTGAGATTCAGATCGAGTTCTAGGTAATTTATTTTTGAACTGGCTGGTTCGACTTTTAAGAAATTAGAGTTCTAATGAGTTCGCGAACTGAGGTACCACTGTATCTTCGTACTTTGTATCGTGATTGATTTTTCTGTTTGCGTATCCCCGCTCTCGTCTTTGTCCTTTGGTCTCGGTGTTTGCATTTTTCTCCTGATGTCTTGCCATCTTCTTGTTTGTGAATTATCATTTGTGCCGCTCGTGTTTGAGCTGCAAGATATCACCAAGTACAACAAATCATAATATCTTAAGTTTTTAAATAATATTAATCACCCAGAATACATTGTACTCAGTTTACTCATGTAAGCCTATAATATTTGCATACGTTTTCTTTCTTTTTTGCTATTAAAATACACTGCGCACTTTAATATCTACAAGGAAAATGACAGCGAAGTACCTTGATTTCGACTAGCCTCCATGATTATATAAGTAATATATATAGTTAATAAACATTATAAAGTTCGGTTCCATACCTGCGGCGAGGTCGACTTTCCTGAATTCAAAGGGTATTTTATTTATTTTAGCGAATATGTATACGGATCGACACGGCTGGGAATACAGGTCAAGAAACAGCTCGAGAGGCATCTTGAAGTCTACGTGCTGGTACGAAAATGCAGAAAACCCGCTGCCCCTTTTGAGTTTATGCTCTGAAGAAATGGGACGCCCCCCCCTTCTATGGGTTAATGTTTTATCGTAACTCTGAACTGAAAGAAAAAAAACTGTTCAAGGTCCATCGTTTATTATTGTATAATTACATAATATAATTATGTTTTCTAAGAGAGTGGCAAGTAGGAGTTAGTAGCACACCACTGCTTATTTAACTGTCTTTCAAATCAGTGTTTCTGAACCCAGTCTTCGGGGACCCCAGACAGTCCACAGTTTTGCTCTCTCCCAGCTGCCAGCACGCACGTACCAGGTATTTTGTATTCTGAATTGCTTTGTTATCTGGTTCAGGTGTGCTGGCAGCTGTGAGCCACCGATCTTCAGGGCAATTTTGTAATGGACATTATCAAAACGGCCCATCACTGGCTCACAGCTTCCATCACTGGCAGAAATCTATAGGACAGGCTACTGCCGCAAAGACATGAAGATCCGCAGAGGCCCAGTCCATCTTGTCTTCACTCCTCTGCCTCCCAGTGAGCGCTACAGACCTCTACATGCCTTGGCTGAAGAGCAGCTTCTATCCCAGAGCACTGACATTTCCGAACACACAGTGCCCATTAGGGAAACTATGTTAGGATGTTATGGTATACTTACATGCTGCTTATGAATGCATTTTTAAGGTGCACTGAATGTTCTATGTGTGTATTATAAAGCCATTATGAAGTTGCACTGAATGTTCTATGTATGCATTATAAAGGCATTATGAAGGTGCACTGAGTGTTCTACGTATGCATTATAAAGGCATTATGAAGGTGTACTGTGTCCTGTCCACCAAGACACGAACACCAGAATCCAGGCAACCAAGTTTATTGGGAGGAACACAAAGAGTAGTCGAGAGCCAGGTCTGGGTCATTGCCAATAGCTGTAGAATCAGGTCACTGAAAGCCAAAGCGTATTCAGAAGTCGTGGTCAGGAGATGGGAAGCCAGGGGTCGGTAGGCCAGGAGATCAAGCCGAAGACGTGGACAACTAACACAGGCAAGGACACGAGGGATATCACGGGAGGGGTGGAAGGGCAGGAGTGCTGGCAGGAGACACAGGAGGTTCGGGAAGGGCAAGGATGATAGACCGCAACTGGGGAGAGAAAACGAAGTCAGACCGCTCAGTAAGTGCATCGCAACAATACCTACAATACAGGTTTAAGTTCCGTCTGCTAATTGATAGTAGGAGGCGTCTGCTATCGTAGCACTGTGGGCGTGACACACTGTATGTTCTACGTATGCATTATAAAGGCATTATGAAGGTGCACTGAATGTTCTATGTATGCATTATAAAGGCATTATGAAGGTGTAGTTGATGTAAAACGTTAACTTTTATTCATTAACCTTCTTTCTTGGTTGTTCTTTCTTTCAAAAATCGCATTGAAGCCTACAAAAACCCCACTTAAACTATTGATACCAAAATTAAGCAAGCCCCCCCCACTGGACAATACCATGGGGGCCCACAGTAAAGTTACTGCTGCTACAATGTTGCTGTTTCTTCCTGTCTGTCCTAGTATCTGCTTTATTATGAAATGACACAATTTCCCTTCTTTCAGTGCTGCTCTGTTTGACGAGAAAGCTGTGACTGCCTTAGGCTGCTGTAGTGCTGGTCCACTCACTGTACGGACTGACGTGTTTAGACCATGGACATCACCCATGGTCCACAGCAGGCCTCCTGCAGTGCAGTAAAACTGCAATGAAATCAGGAGTTACACAGCATCATGTAACAGCTTACTGGAACATAGCATACACATACTTGCACTGCTGAGCTCTTCATCGAGGCCTTCACACTGGCTTTCAGTGGTGACAGTCCTCATCCCTGAGCTGGTTTGTCATGTGGTGGGCGCTGTAATCAGTGCGCGGTCCTTACCTCCTCCTTCTCCTCTTGAGTAGACAATGTTCAAAAACCATGAACTAACCAGACTAGACCATGTCGCTTAATATATTAAGCTAAAATACTATTTTAAAACAGAGGCAGCATTTCTAGCTCTGTCTGTCATCAATATCTAGGTCAAGGCCAATTTAGAGAGCTCTTCAAGATTAACAACTTGGTATGATGACTCTATCTACATAGATAATGTGCTGCGTCAGGTATGAAAGGCTTAAGGAAAAGCTCATACTTTAATGAATCTTAAGACGATGATTATGATACATGTAGTGCTATGATCCTTTTGGGACACTCGACCCGGGCCCTCCACCCTAAGCCAAAAAAGTCCTCTATCTCTTTTCCTGGAAATTAAAAGGGTAAATCTGCAATCTGATAACTTACTGTTAATCGTGTTTACTGGTAATCTACACCAAAACAATTCCCAGTGAGCATTTTCAATGGACCAGTTACATTTTGATATGTCAAGTGCGTGACCTGGTTTAGGATGTAATTCATCTTTTGAAGTCAAACAGAAGAGTAAAATAAAACATTCAAATTGCTGATGTCACTGTTTATGAATGCTCAGGAACTTACTCATCATAGTCCTGAGACTTTATGGTCAGATCAGTAGAAATTCTTGCCCAGTTAAAGCCTCACTGATGTGTGAGTAAATGAGCTGATGGTCTGTTTTTATTACATGGATATTACCACCAAGGGTGTAACTTCGGGTTGAACACTGGGGGGCTGAGGTCTCCACCCATTTAAAGGGACCAGGGGGTTCTATTCACCAGTTTTTATTATTAGGATGGAATTACTGCAACCCCCTCCCCATCCCCCTGTAATTTATGACTACGATTACCATATTGGCACTGACCTTCAGGGTGAGAAACCAGCTTTGACATTATCAACACAACTATCACAAGCGTGACAAAGTGTTTATAATGCATGGCTTTCTGTGTCAACCCCCCCCCCCCCCCCCCCATATCGTATCACCCCCTGTGAAGTGGTCAACATCATGGGATCTGAGGTCGGCTGGGACCAGGAACCAGGCCTCTCTGTGTGTATCAATGAATATCAATGTTACGACAGTGTCCTCACAAGAGCTGAAAAAACATTCAGGGAATGGCTCATTTATTGTACAATTTCATCATCTAAAAAAATATAGTGCCAAAACACTGTCATCCATTTCTACCTGCTTTGGGGTGGTCAGTTGCATTAAGAGCCAGTGGAAGTCTGCAGAGGCAGGAATATGAGCAAAGGTGTTGTGGACATATGTGGCAGAATGGTTTTCTGCACCAGCCATGCCAGTGAAGTTTCTCGCTTGATCTTTTATCAGGCTGCTGGGCGCTCGACTCTTGGCTCCATTGAGGTGCGATGTGTTGTGCCCACAGGTCTCACACCAATGGGGGCACGTGGACACTTTCCGCTAGTATCACATTGTCCGTGCGCCCAGGCAAGCCGGCATTTCTGCAAGTTCTGCTTTGAAAATTTGTCTAACACAAAAAAAAAAAACTGCACCACAGCATATCATCAGCACTGTGTTTAACATCCCCGCCTTTTCGTTTCTTCTTCTTTTGGTGTATCTGTTTTTTGTGTTGTATTACATTACTTGCTTAGGATGTGTAATGCAAAGCTTTGCTCAGTCTTTGATATGCATTCATATAAAACGTACCTACCGATGTTATTTCAAGCCATAAAATACCATTCTCAGCATGTCCTATATACACTTTGACCTTTAATATTTAAACAATAAATTAAGAAATTTTTACTGGCCCAACTGACTCATATTATTTACGCTTTTTAATGATCTCATATATACTACAGTATGTTCCCTGCTGGCTTTCATCACTGAAGACATGGCTTGTCCAACCCACTACTTATCTAGATAGATTTATTTTCCCCAGGATAGGTTAAAAAATCCCTGTGGGCTTGACAATGGCAACCTGAAAAAAATCCCCTATTTGGAAAACACCAGAATCCTCAAGAGATGATTCATTACATAACAAAGGCAGATCCAAAGAAACCACATGTTAAGCTGTAATTTCCCTGAGTTTGCAAGAATGGAATGTGCTTGGTCAAAACTGGGAAGATTGTAAACATAGATCAAGGTAATGCTGCAGGTTGCATTGTTGTCAAAGAAACAGACTTTAAACTTAATGGTCATGAGTTCATATCCCGTGTCCCAGTTACTGCTTCAGAGAAATATCCAGCTGTATGAGGAGCAGAATCTAATATAATTTCAGCGAGACAGTATTATATTAATGCATGCAGCCAGAACTTGTCTGTCAAACCTCACTTAGTCATGTGGCTTCTCCAATCTCGTTGAACCAGTGACATTGTCCCTGCATTCAATGACAGTCATTATTGTTACCATTTATCCACACTTGTCCTGCGCAGGGTCACTATAGGCACTATGGGATTGACGAACACCATTCACTCACACAGACAGCTTTATGGACAATTTGGCAACTCCACCAGACGACCCAGAGGAAACCTCACAACGATACGAAGAGAACATGCAGGCTCTACACATGGAAAGCCAGAGCCCAGCAGTGTTAGCCGACAGTGCTGACCACTGCGCCACCATGCTACCTTCGATCCCTGTTAGTGTAATATCATGTAATTGCATATGTCAAAAGCTGCAATTCACACATGAGTCATGCATACCTTTTAAAATGGGAGTGATGGATTATTACATATTGTATTGAATGCATTCTTAAGGGCAGAGTGCTGGAATATTCTGTCTATGAAACAACTTTGCATTTTCCAATGCATGGACACAGTGAACCTGCAGCCTAGCCTATCACAGGAAGCGCCAAGCAGGAGGCCTTCTTCATAATGTCAATCCTTCACAGCACAAACGCCCACCACAGACATTAGCATTCGCTTTGGACAATTTGGAGACCAGCTAAACCATATGTCATGCGACTTTGGAAGGAAACACAGAAACAACCGAACCCTTAGCCCTAAAGCTATGATGGTACCGCAATATAAAATGAAATATGTTCGTGAAAAACACTGCAATAAGCATAAATTACTACTGATTGTTATATGTGCATAAAAATGTCTGCACATTAATAGATCAACTGCTAGTATATAATTAGCTAGTATATAAAAAGAGTGTTTTCACCATACC